GCACGGCATGAATCACTTAATTCTTTTTTTTTTTTTTTTTCTTTTTTGAGACGATCTTGCTCCGACCGCCCAGGCTGGAGTGCAGTGGCCGATCCAAGCTCACTAACAAGCTCCGCCTCCCGGTTACGCACATTCTCCTGCCTCACCCCCGAGTAGTAGCGGGAACTACATGCCCTGACCCACCTCGCCTGGCTACGTTTTTTTTGTATCCTCTTATAGAGACGCGGTTGTCCACCATGTTAGCCAGGACATGTCCTCGATTCCTGACCTTGGAATCCGCCCGTCTGGCCTCCCAACATTCTTTCTGACTTCTCAGGAACCAAGGATACAGTATCCCAAATTCGATTTTTTTTTTTTTAGACTGACAGGGTTTCACCGTGTTAGCCAGGATGGTCTCCATCTCCTGCCCTCGTGATCCGCCCGCCTCAGCCTCCCAAAGTGCTGTGATTACAGGCATGAACCACCACGCCCGGCCTCTTTTTTTTTTTTAGACAAGAGTCTCACTCTGTCACCAAAGCCAGAGTGAAGTTGCACAATCTCACCTCACTGCAGCTTCTGCCTCCAGAGTAGCTGGAATTACAGTCACGCACCACCATGCCCAGCTAATTTTTTTTGTATTTTTAGTAGAGACGGGGTTTCACCATGTTGGCCAGGCTAGTCATCAACTCCTGACCTCAAGTGATCCACCTGCCTCGGCCTCCCAAACTGCTGGGTTCACAGGCGTGAGCCACCACAGCTGGCCACCAGCTTTCTTTTGACTAGTGTTACAACAATAGCCTAGGCAACATAGCAAAAGCCTGTCTCTACAAAAAAATACAAAAATTAGCCAGGGGTGGTGCTGTATGCCTGTGGTCCCAGCAACTGGGGAGGCTGAGGTGGCTCACTTGAGCCCTAGAGGTGGAGGCTGCAGTGAGCTATGATTACACCACTGCACTCCAGCCTGGGTAACAGAGCAAACCCTGACTCAAAAACAAAACAACAGTGTATCTTTTACTTTTTGTACAAATTTATTATTTGTGTATTTACTTTTGTATTATTTTTCTTTTTGCAGATCCAGCATTGGCTGAGCATATTTATTTACATATTCATTTATTTTTTGGAGACACATTCTCAATCTTTTGCCCAGCTGAAATGCAGTGGTGCGATCTCAGCTCACTGCAACCTCTGCCTCCCAGCTTCAAGCAATTCTCATGTCTCAGCCTCTAGTGTAGCTGGTACTACCACATGCACCACCATGCCTGGCTAATTTTTTGTATTTTAGTAGAGATGGGGTTTCACCATGTTGCCCAGGCTGGTCTCAAATTCCTGAGCTCAGGCAATTTGCCTGCCTTGGCCTCCCAAAGTGCTAGAATTACAGGCATGAGCCACTGTGCCTGGCCTTATTTTTAAATTTTATTTCTTGTAGGTAACATTTTAGGTTTTTCAGTATGACAGTCTCTGCCTTTTAATTGGAGACTTTAGCGGCCCTCCCAAAGTGCTGGATTACAGGCTTGAGCC